ATACATGTATATGTATGTATATATGTATACATGTATATGTATGTATATATGTATACATGTATATGTATGTATATATGTATACATGTATATGTATGTATATATGTATACATGTATATGTATGTATATATGTATACATGTATATGTATGTATATATGTATACATGTATATGTATGTATATATGTATATACATGTATATGTATGTATATATGTATATACATGTATATGTATGTATACATATATACATATATATATACATATGTAAAAGAGCACATTTTTATAAAGCGTCCAATCTGCTTGCAAAGCAATTAGACGGTCAAGAAGAGGTGATCGATCGCGAGAACACGTCATCGCCATACTCCATGGCATCCTTTAATAGTTTCAGAATGAGTGGTTTCAATTTCCTAAAATCAAGAATTTGAATATAATCGACAAGAGCTGGTTTTGGAATCTGTACTGAAGTCTCCGATTTCGATGATTTCGATTCAAACAATTATTTTTATTTAAAAATAAAAAATATTTTTAAATAATAAAAATAATTTAATTTATGAAACCCATGATTAGAATCATCAATTTTTCCAACTTATATATATATGTGTATATATATATATGTATATATACATGTATATATATACATGTATATATATGTATTATAATGATCTTGTGATGATATGATAAAATATTACCTATTAACTCACCAATCATCAACTCTGTCTACAAATTGAAAGATATTTGCAATTTACCAAACTAAGTCTACAAATTCATATTCACTGGATAAAATTTAAAAAATATATAAAGAGCCATCGACATCAATGTGCCCTACTAATAACCTGAAGTCCAGAAGCAACCATTAACGATCTATAACATTACAGTGCAACTTGTTCATATGGTTAAAATATATTCCAATAAAAGTCTTAACCAAGTCAAAACCTAGCAAAGATGGCATCGATAACCGTGATAAAACCATTGGAATTTAGCTTACTACATTGTTCCAACTGTTTTTAAGGGTTCAATAGGTGAACAAAATCCAGCAGATCACACATATTACCAGAGTTCATATGGAAAAAGAACATGTGAAATAAAAGAGCTCCTTTCAATTTCACAGTCTCCATCCCTACCAATAGCAAACCTCTTCAGCGGTACTGCACAAACCAAAAACAAAAGAAGACATGCATCAAAGATTGCATCATGACACACCAAAAACAACCAAACAGAAAATGTAGTGTAATGAACATAAGAAAAATCAGAAAGCAACATATACCGATTGCCCGGTTCTCTAAGCAGCACATATTTAAATAATGTAATTTCAAATTCCAAATTTTCAGTTAGTGAAATCTAACTATAACAGGACTGAAATTTTATGTTTTCACAATGACATGAAATCACACCTAATTTAACCATATCAGTAAAGGAACATAAAACAAATGCATCATTGATATGAACAAAATTTCTTTTCCGGTTAACTATGTTATCTGCATGGTTCTCAAACCTGGAATGAAAGGAATGCATCTACTTCTCACATTTAAGAGAGCATTTAACATTGATCACCATCTACAAGCATAAATCAATTCATGTGCCCTACAAGAACACCTTTCAAGAATACTTATTGCTTCAACAATCAATAAAGTTGGAGGTAAATGATGTCAACACCAAAAATTCAAACTCGATAGGTCATTTAACAACCACATATAACAGGACTGCAGAATTATTTGATATTTTCTCCATTATCAAGCTACAAAACACTTGCACATAACAAGGCAAATATCAATCGCTAAAGAGACTAAAACCTAAAATGAACATAACACGATTTTTCAATTGTGATACTTTCTTTAGCGTTGTATTATTTGCAGGTTCCTCACAAAGTCAAAGGCAAATCCACGGTAGGAAACACTTTGGAAGATATTCAAGTTCTTTTAGAAACATCTCCACATGGACATCGATCAGTAGACGCAAATTCAAGCATAGAAGGCATGGAACAAATACAAATCTGATCATCGAAAACATATATCAATATCAAAAATTAAAGAAAGGTCAACACTTGATAAACAAGAATAGAAGATAGATTCGAAGAAAAAGCTCCTGGAAAACAGCAAGAGAACCACAAATCAACTTAAGAATACTCAATAATAAAAAATAAAAAAAGACAGATACAAAGATGGGCTTAGGTGGTATTCAATGGTAAAAACAAGAATAGTAAGAGCTCATAGAAAAATAACAAGGAGCTAAAAATGGACTTTGGGTCAGAAAATAACAGCACTGATACCTACCTGATGCTTCAAATGATTATCTCTGAAACCAGAATAGTCAAATAGATCCATGGTGAAATTAGATATGAAGACAAACAAAAGACCTAGCAGAATGTTTAACATTGTAACATAGTAATTATATTTTACAGATTTTTCAATGTGACAATATCCAAAAAGACCTATCCCTGCGTCGCCTACCTATACAACTGAAAGATAGCTAATTCTTAAACTTATCATCGTCTTCAAATCCTTCAACAAAGTATCTTGAGGATGATTGCAAGAGTAGATAAAACATAAGTAAGCACTACAATAAGAAACTTATTTAAAATGGTCAACACTGGAAAAAACAAATCTTACACATGTAAACTTAATTCCACCAACAAATACAAATCCCTTCACCCAACAATATATCAAACACTCAAAAAAAGAAATCCTTTAACCACTAAATGATAACATCCAGAAAGCACAAAGAATAATTCAGAAGCGCGACAAGATGTGGTCTCAGCTGCATTTAAGAGAATACAAATCTACCTTAATGAAGCCAATTGCTTTGGCATTGCTGCGGAAGCACTGTCTGCAACACATAAGCCCATACTTCCTGATCAATCCATGAGGATTCCCACAAACACGGCTGCAGAGAAAGATAATAATAATTAGGTTATAAATGATTCAGAATAACACAAAAATTACACTATGATGCATTAGTGACGCGAATCTCAAAACATATTGACTATCTATCACCAATCGCTTAAAAGGCAAAGTACAACACCCAATACTGTCGTACATAATTGCCAGAAAGACCAGCTTTTGCTGAATCATCCGACTTCCGCTCCAAACTATGCGGTTATAATTGTCAAAATTCCTTTCTTTTTTCTCTTTACATGTTCTTGTAATATGACAACAACAGAGTTTTCGGAAACCGAAACATAATACAGCTGAAAAGCAAACAAAATTTGAAGGTGCATCAATCGATGAATAAAAGTCAATTTGAAAGTTACACACACGAAGCAAGATATATCAATGAACAAGTTCCTGATAACAGAGTAGGATCAAAACTAAGGACAACGTTAGATATTCTCATCTTTGACTCCAATGTTTAAACCAACCACATCATCTGGGCGGCGGGCAAGAAGAAACGGAGATCGCATCCAGGTTTTCTCCGCAATCTCAAGATTACTTAACAGGGAGAACAAATCTTAAATTGAAAGGCACGGGATCTAAAAGGAGAACCAAAATCGCTCACCAAACTCGGGATCCGGGGCCGTAGTTCTTCGGATGCGAGTTCCACACGTTCGAATGCCCCATCTCTCTCCGCTCGCCGTTATCACGCTGGGTCGCGCCGAGCCTTGATCCGTCGTCGATGGACTTATGAGGAGGGAGCTGCGTTTTATAGCATCGCATCGGGAACCCTAATTGACTTACCTAATGAGTGATCCACCGTCCGTTGATCCATCCATCAATATCTGCAGTCATGATCGGACGGTTGAGTTTTCAGACTCGTATGGAAATAACACAGTATCGCGGAACCTTCCACTTCATCTCCTCTTGCTTCGTTTCTCCTCACGGACTAGACAGTAATGGTTCATTATTTGGTAGGGTAAGAAAAATTCGATTTTTAAGATGTTGGCATTGTGCTAAGAGTCATATTTCAAAGAGGAAACATGTTTCTTCTCTCACCATTTATGCTTACCTAAGTTCTATTGGTGTCAACTGGAACCTAGTAATGATCTTGATCAGTGTCATGAGATTATGATCTGCTAAGGTCAATATTATTAATATTGATCTTCGACTCCACATGATAATAAAATTATTTTGAATTATTTATTTTATGTGTTATCGTGTCTCAAAAGAGAAAAAAATGTGATGAGGAAATCAGAGAGAATTTCTTTTGATGATAAAAATTTTGTATTCCATATCTTATAGCTCGCTCATATTTGTCATATATTTCGTATCTCATTTTAGTCTATAATAGTAATAATAATGATAAAACCATAAATCTTAATTATTTGGGATCGTGTCTTATTTTAGTTTGAGGACCAAAAATATTTGTATCATATCTCATAGTATTCCAATGACAATAAACACTTATATTTTGTATCCTATATATAAATAATGATTGAATATCATAACTCATGTGGCTAGACCCCTCTACGAATTAAGTAAATTTTGATTTTTTGAGGATAAAAAAAATCGATAAGAAGTTCATGTGATTAGATAAGTTTAGTAAGTTTGAGATGACTACTTTGTATAGTGTTGGTATTATAACCATTATCGATTATAAGATATTTAAGTAACGTAATGAGTCTTTTAATACTATGTTAATATGACATGTCTAGTTGGTGTTTCATCATTTTCTAGATCTAAGATAGCCCTCCAATCGATATTTGGTTATATTTGGGCTAATTAGTTGAAGATGATAGTCATATCTTTCCCTATTATGCTTCATGTATGGATTTGTTTATATGATAGTATAAGGTTTATTTTAGGACCTCAACAACTATTGTTTACATTAAAAAAAAAAAAACTTGTACTCATCTAATATGTGGGCTAATTGTTTACATAAAAAAATGATTAAGTGATGATTTTTTTTAAAATCCTAATAGTAGTGTTGGATACTTTAGATTTTTTTTATTTTTTTATCCTAGGTGGCTTATGACGTATAAAAGAGATGAATTAACTGTTTTGGATGCTTCAGATTTTTTTTATTATATACAAAAAATGGGTTATATATTTTTTTCGATGAGAGTAGGTTGTACATAATTTACTTGGGTCAACATTTTTTCTTTTGTTCAATAGGTCGAATATTCTTTGTTCGATAAAGTGGTTTGAACAATTTTTACTAAAGAATAGGTTGGGCATTTTTTACTGATAGGAACTAATCAAACATTTATTTTCTCGATGAGAGTGGGGAGAGTACTTTTTAGTTGATAAGTGTTCATGGAGCATTTTTTTGCCCAATGAAAGAGATACCTTTTAGAAATGTATGTTATTAATATTAACATAAGTGAAAGAATGATACGATCATAAAGAGATATCTCTCCTTGAGGATAGGATCTTATACATAATGGGATTTTCGAAGAGATCCTTATACTTATTTTTTGAGGAGATACATTTCTATCTGAATTGGTGAGGTTAAGATTTTTTGTCCAATCTTATGTGATCGAGCATTTTTGCTAGATTTGTTATGTACTCTCAATGAGAAGAATGGAGTGGAGTGTACAGAGTTAAATAGATCAATCGAATTAAAGATGTGATGACATTCATGAAGACATGACTGACTTTGGTTAACTTGAAAGACAATCATTTTAAGGATATCGGTGGCTTAAAGATATGTTAATTTTGGAGAACATACTTATTTTAAGGATATGACTATCTTAAATGATATGATGATTTTGAGGACGCAACTGATATAAGAATTGAATATCTTGAAAGATAGATATTTTACAAACACAATCTGACTTCTATCTTAAAGGATATTGTCATTCTAATAACGCAATTAACTTGAGAATACAAGATACAATCATTTTTATAATATAACTATCTTGACAACATGAATTGACTTAAGGAGACTCGGAGAAGTTAGACCATTTTCTATACTAGTGAGCAAGAGTATGATTGCTTTTAACTTTGGAATGTCATCTAGCCTTTGGCACGAGTGTTTTAATTTATCCTTTGGAGTAGGTCTAGAATATCATTGAGTATTTTTTTCTTATTGAATAAGAAAACATTGATGAGGCTATAAAGGGAGGCATGAATTACTAACATTGAATGGTATGGATTGACCACTTCAATTTCATTGAAAGGTATGGATTACCAACTTTTCGTAGGATTTTATTAATGATATTTTCACATAGGGTAGTTAGGAAAGCTCAACACATAAGAGTGTTAGAAGTAATGTATAGGAGGATCATTTGTGTCTTGAAAGTGGCAGCATATTCTTCGGGTCAGTGCTTCCATAAGTGTCAAGATTTGATAGATAAAAATTGGAGAGAACAATTTTATCAGTTAGATGAAAGGAGATTGATACTAGAGATCTACTTGGCTGAATTCTTTTTCAAGTTTCATCTCGTGTTGTCAAGATGCTTGTTTATTTCATATAGTTGTTAATGTAAGGTGAGACTCATCTTATTAATTGTGTATTCCTTAGATTCTCAAGTAGAGGTAGTTGAGGCCAAATCAAGTTAATTTTTTAGGAGATAGTTAAGGTGCTTGAGGAAATATTGGGTTTAACAAATATTTTGTTATTCCTAGAACTAATATCTCAATCGGATTAGAAGTCCTAATATGAGAAGAAGACTTGATGAAGAAAAAAACTCTAGTAATTAGGGTTCGGTTCTTCTATAGTTTTAGTTTTAGTGAGAGAGAACAAAATAGGAGAAATACTTTTGGTGCTCTTACGTTTCTCTATAGTGTATTTAAAAATGATACTCTTTAGGATTTTTAAAGATGGTAAGAGAAAATATGTAATTTTTTTAGGTTTATACGAGAGGCATGCAAGATAAATTTGTGAGGATAACTTAAGGTCATTTAATAATTGATTATTTTATGGCAAGCAAGTTCTTAGGTTTCTGAATTCTTCGTAAGTTAAGTTGATTATTAAAATATGAAAGAAGTTATATATTTAGTTAAGTTAAGAATACTTTAAGTTTTTATATATGATTTTTATTAAAGTTATTTTTAGATTTTCTTCTATTTTGACTACTAATATTAATCATCTCATCTCAAGGTCTTATAAACACATACTTATATTATCGTAAACGATTTTCTTTTATCCAATCTTCTATCTAAGCGATACCTAATTAGTCATGAATAAAAATATTTTTTAATATTTCTTAGTAACTTCATATATCTATCTCAATATTTTTATCTTAACAACATAAATTTATATATATATATATATATATATATATATATATATATATATATATATATATATATATATATATATATATATAATTTTTTAACTACTTAGCACTTCAATCTATAAGGTATTATTAGTCTCACAATAGCCTTATAAAGATTTTTCTTTTAATCTCAAAGGTATTCGATAATCACACAAGACTCCTAATATTTCTCGCCATTTTAACTAATATATTTTTATTATATAAATAATATCTTCATCTTGTTGAATAATTAATTTAAGATATCTAAAGATTTTATTTAAATAGGCTTATTATCTATCCAACCTAACTATATTCTTCTATTTATTCCTAAAATTACTATAATTATATCTTATATATTTAATTTTAGTCATACTTAATCTAAAATTTTTAATTTCTAAATATTACTTTAATATCTTAAGTCTATAATTAATTCTACTTAAGCTCTTGTCAACTAAGATAATATCATCAATAAATAATATACACCATATCATATAAGTGACTAGTTAGTTTATCCATTATCAATGTAAAAAGATAAGAATTTAATACGAATCCTTGATATAAATAATCCTATGCTAATAGGAAATTTACTAAACATACTCCAAATAATTCTAATACTAATAGCTATATTATCAAATATTTTTAATAATATCAGCATAATTAATGAATATATTTTTTTATTAAAATTCATCATAATAAATTTTAGGAATCTTATTATAGATTTTCTCTAAATCAATAAGAATCATATGCAATATATATATATATATATATATATATATATATATATATATATATTATATATATATATAATTACTGAGATATATTCTTTTGATCTACAGGATATATGGGATTATTGGTCTACAGAGCTTGAATAAAATTATAATCCTTGCTCGCAAGTAATTATGTAAATTGCAATGTTTGTTGATGACGGCGATTAAAGTTAGTGGGAAAAGCTTGTTACTTATTGCGAGGACTGCAGCTGGCAAGAGTAGATCTGCATCATTCAATGTGGTAAATAATAGTCTTCAACACAAAACCTCTCGAGACAGAAAAAAAAGAATCCGAGTGAATGCATAACTACAACAGGCGGCGGTCCCTCCCGCTCAGAACCGACAACAATACGACAGCAAAGAAGGGAAACAAGAGACAAGAAACTACTGTTATGTATCATGTCGCGATCTAGGCAAGGATGACGGCAAGCCCCAGGAGCAGGGCCAGCCCTCCTGAGATAAAGCCTCTCACTATCTGTGCACCACTCTGCAACATTACACATACAACGAGTCAGTATCAGGTTTTCTCCGTCGTGATGATCTCTTCAACTAAAACAATTAGAGATCTCTCATTGATAAGGGTCAAGCTATTTGATGTGTGTAACGGCCTAACATGCACCGGAGATATATATATATGACTTGATATGCGTAGATTAGCAAACAAACATCACTTTAGCTAAAGGGCACTGAGCAACATTTAAAGCCTAACGGCTCTGTCGGCGCACGATAGTGAGCTAAGGACGATAATGCGCTATCGTGAGCATGATCCATCGGATCTAGGTTTGTATATGTGTGAGAGAGAGTACCGTTTCGTCGGCGGCGACGCTGGGACCCGGGGAGGTGGCCTCGGACGAACCCGCGGGAGACCCGGCGGCCGGAGCCGGGGGGCTCGGAGCGGGGGCCGCGGCGCCCTTCTTCGCCTTCTTCTTCTTCTTCTTCTTGCTCGGAGTCGGGGCGGGCGTCTCGGCGGGCTTCGGCGGCGCCGCGACGGGGACTGGGGTCGATGGGATGGGGGAAGCCGCCGGCGGAAGCAACGTCGTCGGAGGCGGCGCGGGCGGGGATGTCACCGGCACGGGCGCTGGAGGAGCCGAGGTTGGCGCGGCCGCCGTGGGCGCTTTGGCGGCGGCGGCGACGGGCGCAGGGGTAGTAGGTGCGCGTGTCGCGGGGGCCTTGGCGGGAGCCTTGGATGTGGGAGCGGCGGCCGGGGCCGGGGTGCTGCTGCTTTTGGTGGGAGCGGCGGCGGGAGCGGGGGTGGTTGGCTTGGCGGGAGCGGCTGCGGAGGTGGTCGGGGCGGCGGCGGGGGACTGGGCCGCAGAGTTGGAGGCCGCGAAGCAGAGGAGGGAGATGCAGAGAATGGCTCTGAGGCGATCCATCGCGAAGAGAAGAGTGTAGCAGACAGTGGGTGAGCGAGTGAGCGGCTGAAGGGGAGTGATGGTTTAAAAAAAAGGGGTTCGGGAGGAGAGAGGGTGTCACGGGGGGAGCAACAGCACATGGGGGGAAGGCGAGTATGGCGCGGACGAGCTACCGCGGGTCCCGCAGGGGCGGCAATCACTGTGCGCCGCGGGGGAATCGGGTGGGTTCTAGTTGGAGGGAGCGAATAGCGGTGAGGAGGGGTTCAGCTAAGCCAGGCTGGCGCGGGCCCCGCCCCTCTGCTCTGCTGGTGTCTGGTGCCGTTGTGGGACGCGCCCGGTTGTCTCCTTCCCTCCCCTCCACTGCCGTTGCGCGCTTCTGCTGTAAGTCTACTCCATTTGGCTGTTGCGATCGGACGACCGCACGTTGCTCCACTGTCGCCCAAAACGTTTTGTTGAGCAGGTGTCGGTGGTGGTGGATGAGACGGGCTCTCTCACTGACCGTTGCCGGCAGGACAGGACGTTGGACTTGCAGGAATGGTCTGGGGAGATGGAGTAATTAGGCCGTCATCATTTTGCTCGTTGCAGCCTGCAGTCAGAGGACATTGTCCAATGATAGCGCAACTCTGATATGGAGGGATAGGTTATGGTATCCGATGTTTAGCTACCATATAGGGTCGCATTGAGGTGTTAGAAGACTATGGGGCCTTTCATGTTTGACTGTTACTGAACTCACCAATTGCTGACGAGTGGATCACGTTTGGACGTTTGATGTGTTTGTGTCGGTGGAGCAAAGGATACCAACCAATGATTAACCCTTACTGGATTCAATATTGGGCTTTACAATGGGCCTTAGACTCCGTAGGAGTATCAAATACTTGTGTGAGGCCCATAGCCTCTACGGTCCTTCCCCTCGCTCGGCGGTTGGAGCTTAAAGCAATCTGTACCGTCCAAGTCTCCACACTTTGGTCAAACGGATGTACGGAAACCCACAAATGACCCTTCAAGGCCGGCCGTTCGATCTCGAATACCCTCAGCTGGCGCCTTTTGCAAATTCAAAACCCTTTCGTCGGCTGCCGCCCATCGCTCAACACCGAAGCGCTGACCATGGCGGCGTCAATGAGCTGCTTCTCCGCCTTCGAGGCCGGAGGCCAGGCGCCCGCACTACTGCCCCACAGGAGCTTCGTCCCCTCCGCCTTCTTGTTCTCGAAGAGATCGCCCGGCCAAGTTGCGGTCCGCGCGAGGCCGTGAGTGTCCACGAAGGGAAAGCCGAGGGGGTATCCCCAAGCTAATGTCGTATGACCGGAGCTCCATTCCAATATCTCTCCCTGCTTCCTCATATTTATGTGGTAAATTTCTCATTCACGTCTACTAGTTGTGATGCCGCTCATTTTCATTAAAGGAGAATTCTTGACTATTTCTTCTACAGTCGTCAAATACACTTTAGTGATTAATATATGAATACAGAAAACGGAGGAATTCTACTAATATTTCAAATCCCAATTGCGAACACTTTGTGAAGTCTGTCGTCCCGTGCCCAAATAGCTTTCCTCTAATTTGCACCTTATTTTTTTGATTTAATGGCCATTTCCACACTATCTAAAGTGTTTTTAGTATCTTTTGCAACGCAAATCCATGTAATTCCCCATTTCTTCCATGCTTTTAGTGACTTCCTTTTTTTTTATTAAAATATTAAATATGAATTTTAGATCATATTTGTGCACTCTGACATTTCATCTAGTTCCAGGATTAATTCGTGTTTTATTCTCTTATAAATGCACCTCTAGATATTTTTAAGAATAGTAAAAATTTGATCTTATTTTATGTACTTCTTGCAACAACTTGCTATGTTCCATTTCCGTATTTGATTTCAACTAAGATGTAGTTGTTAGTGCACAAGTTATTCAGACTTGAAGAAAAGCTAACCTGTGCAATTCTGAGCTTCGCCACAAGAAGGAAAGCCAGGTCGACGATGACTTCATTTATCTTATTTTCTTGCTTGCTTCGTGTGAATAAATCAGTTTGTTGTGTTCACCCATGTGGACTTGAATTCTAAGACACTATGTGTATTTTATGGCTCTATTATCTTTCTCAATGGATTTCATCTTTTTATAATTGCTGCATTTATGAATGCATTTGAAGATCCTAGGAGGACAAATGTTTTTTTAATTCATTGATAACTTGATCTTGTTTTGAATGGTTCAACATACTTTAGCATGTCATAAACTTAGTTGATTTTGTCTAAATTATGTGATATATAAATGATATTTGCTCGTAAGGGTTAGTCTATGTCTTAACCTTGTACAGTTCAGACCTGTATACAAAAGAAAAGGTTAAAAAGACGAACATATGAATAACATAATATCGTCAAGCATGAAAAGGAAAAAATAACTAAAATCATAAGTAACACAAACAACTAGTTTTTATTAGGGCAAAAGACTTGCAAATGGGTTGAATGGTCGCATACAAAAGAGTTCTAAAAGTAGGTGCAAGCCCAATGTTCACCTAGACATATAACTAAGATCCTATATGGCCTGGTGCCACCTAAAGGGTTTCAGGACGCTAAGATAATTGACATTTCATACCATAAGATCATCAGCTAGCAATTAGCTTGTGGCATATGAAACTGAGATTGTTTTTTACTATTTTCCCCTCCTCGCAACATCACATAGCTAAAGATGTTTTCAATTTTATAAAGCAGAAATAGAAAACAAAAACACTTCCGATAAAGTAAAATGGGATTGATAGAAATACTTTTATGTCTATACTGCCTACAATCTACCCTGTACTTTATTAGGCATTTGTTCTACAACTAATCTGGGACTAAACATTTCATCAAAGCTTCCAAGTTGGGGAGTCTTAGGTTCTTTGGGCTCTATAGATCTAATGAGGTCCATCACTCGTCTTCATTGGTGTAAGATTTGAATTGCAAGATTTTGTTCCTTCAAGGTATCTCTAGAAGAGGCATCCTTGACTCTCTAATTCTCCAATCAATATTAGACCATATTTTGGCCTTATCAGACCCCCTAGCTGGGGAGCGAAGCCCTTAACAAATTCCACGATGGCATATGATAAAATCCATCACTAGTCTTTGCTAGTATAAACTCTGTGAGCTATGAGGAATTGTTTGCTCGAAGATGGGCTTTACATGATTTTGTCGTTCAATGATGAACCTCGAAGGGCATCTTTAGATGAGGAATCATTTGAAACTGTTTGATAGGCTTTGGCTTTCCAACACTTCACAATGTGGCTTTATCAGGAATATTGAAGAGTAAAATAAAAAAAAGGAATATAGAAGAGTAATTTGTATTATGATTAGTAGCCTTGTGTAAAAGGTGATATGGACATTTCACAATCAGTACCATTTCTGTTTTTAATACATTTACATTTATTGCAGGGAATATTCAACAGTAATGAGAGACAAAATAAATAGGATTTTTTTTTACAAAAATGGAAGAAAAATATTTTACTTCCAGAAATTAAAGAAATAATCAATTTATTTCTAAAAATAGAAAAGGAATAAATGTTGGCTGAAGGACTTGAGCTTCCAATTTTTCCTGACAGATCTCATCAACAAAGATATTTAAGAAACAAAAGTATGTGAGAAAGTCCTCTCTAGTCATTTTATTCTTTCTCCTAGTGAGACCAAGCAAGATAGATCCCCCCGAGAAACAAAGGGGGAGCAGCATGGTCCATGAAAGGAGTTGGATGCACAGTACCACTAGTTGCCATGTCATTTATTGGTTTCTGTATGTCCCTGAATCTAGACAAACATTCCCATCAGCATTTGATTTTAGGTCTGAGAGGTAAAAGTGTCAACATATCATCATTAGTGTCTCCAATTTGATTGATGTTTGATGAAGAAAATTCCTTCGTTTTCTAACTGTCAAGCTAACAAACTTCTAGCCTTTCTTTTTCTTCACTTTAATTGTAGTAATCTGCACAATTAGCTTGAGTATTGCAATGATTACTGGATTAACTTGTTTGTTCAAATAGGATAAAGATCATCTTGTCTACCTTATCTTCTTCTGTTTATACACTTCCAGCAACCCTTTTGTGTATGATTTGAGGGGCAAAAACCTTGCGACAAGCACAGTGATTGTTGCAAATACATTCTTTAATTGATTTAATCGACAACCAAATGCTTCGTATACTTGTTAGTTAGTTGTTTGGATATGAATATAGTTGAGACAGCCGCTTTTTGTTCTTCATGAAGGGTTCTTCTTTTGCAGCACACAGACAATATGGATCTCAAGAACTCACAAGTTTCTTTCTCTTACTATGGTCATGTTGTTTATTAGTTACAGCCAAACAAAGAGGACTTGACCAGTTACCTTACATGATGAAGCAGGAAGCAACTGATTTGGATCTCTTTGTGTGTCCCTTTCTGACTTCCAAATTGTGGGGGGCTGAAGCACATGGATGCAAGTGGCGAAGAACATGCACCTGTGAAGAGCATTTAAGGCCAACACAACTGGTGTCTACTGCAGCTGGAAGTTCAGCAGGACCGAGTCAGAGGTAGTTTAGACAACAGAGTGTGATGCATGCAGCAGTCACTACAAAAATGCAGGAAAATATTAAAGTGAACAAAGAAGATGATTAATTTGAGAAGGAGATGGATAATATATATCAGCAAAGGTGGTGAACACATCAGATTCAACCAGGCTTGTGAGAATCAAGAACTTGAAACAAAAGGATCTTGAATTAGAACACTCAATCTATATACTAGCTTCTCAGAGCTACCTAAATTTGCATCAAGTTGCACTTTATTTTAGTTTTACCATAAGAAACAACAGCAAATTTATCTGCTCCCTGTTCATGATTGATGATCCTAACCCAAGACTTCGAACCTGCAAACGATCTTCTCAGGCATATCTTGTGGGTATCTAGAGCTGAACTTCCCTCTTACTCCTCGAGGAAGCTCACATGCTTCGCTGGTTGAACCACGTCTCATGTCAGCTGGGGGAATGAAGCAGTCCATGGAGAGGCCAGGTACATTGAAGGCCACTTCATCTATCGTCCACGCCTCCTCCATCCTCCTCTTGGTGTGGTTCATCGCCTTCTCTCCGAACCTGAACAGAGTAGCTGTGGAACGACCCGAGTGGGCGATCATTATGCCGTCCACCAGGCGGTAGTCGTCGAGGGAGGAGTTCATGGTTGTCTCCCAGTAGACTGCGTCGCCTCCGGCATTGGCTTGGATTCTGGTCAGGTGGGAATCTTCCATGTGGACAAGAAGCCCGGTTCGCTGGCTGAAGTAGCCGAACAAGACATGCCGTATGATCTCAGCAGGGCCTTCGCTCCGTGCTCTCAGGGTTGGTGGATCGGCGCTGAGCTTGAGAACGAAGCAGTCCTCCCCGTTGACCGTCTTCTCCCCAATGCAACGCGCGTCGGCGAACATGCTTGCGGTGGTCAATGGATCGAGACCCTACTCAAAGAATCATCTCAAGATCAATCCAGGTGCAGAGTCTTTCTAAAGCAATTCAGACGGTGCGGATTCGGTGACCTGGAGAGCTCGGCGGAGGGGACGGGCGGGGCCTTTGGCGGCATGGGAGCCGAGCCAGGGGGTGTGGCGCCACACGACCTTGCCATTGGAACCGGCGTGGACCTTGCTGCCGCCGACAGCGAGCTCGACGTACCACATGTCCGGGGCCATCTGCCAGAGCACGAAGCCACCGGACTCCGTGGTGCTCGACGAGACGCAGCCGGTCCTGACGACTTTGGCTGTGGCCTCGAACTCCGACGCCACCATTCGCACCTTCCCGGTGGCGTAGGCGTTGCGGATGGATCTATGGAGCCTCAGGCCGCCTGACGCCGCCGTGTACTGTTGCATTATGTACTGAGCCGACGAGGTTTCCTGAGAAAGAAGAATAGGCGAAGATTAATTGGATTCAAGAAGAAAACCCGCATTGATGTGGAGCAGAATGCGTCAAAACACCATCTTGGAGCTACAGAAGCCACGGATTCAATGCAATTTCAGCAATAAATTTGGAGCTTTTACTCCAAAAAAGGTGCATTTGAGGCCGGAAAAAGAGGGAACGCATCAAAACGTCATTTTGGCACCAAAAAGATGAGGTTTTGCTCGAGGAACGGAAGAACGCAGCACAAAGAGAGAAAGATAATTGTTGGAGGACGAAGAAGAGACGGAGAAGCTCACAATGGGAGTGTCCTTGACGCTGAGGTGAGGCAGAGGGTCGAAAGAGCTGACATGAACGGGGGCGAGCGGCGCTCCCAAGACTCCGAGCAAGAGGCGGAGGTCGGAGCGGAGGGCTGAAGAGGACGCGCCCGCTGCAACGGAGGAGGTGGCGGCGGAGGGGGCCCGTGAGAGTTGGCCCCGGATCCAACGCCCCCACCCTTCCTTCCTCGGGTCCCCGTGGGCGTCTCGAGCGCCACCGCCGCTACCATCGGGGCCCTCCACGAGCGGCGCGAGGGTCTCCCGGGAGCCCTTGGACCATGCGACCGGAGCGACCGCCTCGGGCGCCTGTGACAGCGACGGGTGGCGGCGGCGCCCCTTCCTCCGCCGCTGCGGGAGCGGCGCCTGGCTCCTCACGGAGCCCTTCTCCCTCGACCTCGTTGGCGAGGGCCCCGTCGCCACCTCCTCCTCCCTCAGCGCCGGTAAGAACCCTTGCTTCTTCTCCATGGACTGCCCTGCGAACCTCAATCTCCGAAACGGACTCGTACGGAACTTATAGGCGCAGTGGCGGCCAAGTTGCCGTCGTCTGCTTGAGAAATTTTAGGGACCGGAACGCGAAATCTTGTTCGTAGAGGGGGTGGCAGAGGAGTATATATAAACGGACAAGGAAAAGACCTGAGAGAGGGCAGTGAACAGAGACTCCAAATGCTATTCCCGTGCGCTCTCCTGACATGGAGGAGATGGTAACGATATATATATATATATAATAGTATGCCAACACCTAAGAAATGTTACGATAATAATATAATTACTAATAACGATAATAATTATATAAAAAAATAAGGATATCTTATAAAACAATAATAATAATTATCTAAAATAAGGATATCTTATAAAAAATTCAATAATAGAGTTTACCTATTGACGCTCATATGTTTGTTCTTTACGAGGGATATCTTTTTTTCACAATTAAATCAAAATGTCATTTTAAAATCAAATAATGATAAATAATATTTGTTGACCCTATTTGACCTTGGGCTCTTTGGTTTGAGCACGTTTGTTTGATATGAATCGGACCATATCAGTTTAAAATAAATTAATTATTTGATTCATTTATTTAGTCTTAGATTGCTCGTTTGTATTTTTCTCAAATTATATTGTCAAACCTTATTTATCATTATCAACTTTCTTATCACCGGTTGTGGTTAAATCTTATTTATCTAGCAGTTGAAGAAGTCGTAGCCATCATCTTCTTGCTAAGCCTTAGGTGGTCTTGCGATGGCCTTCATCAATGGGGGAGAAGATTGTTGCGCCACCTTGATGAGCATTGATGGTCGCAATCATTGTTGCTAGGGTAAAAGGTTGGTGTTACCTTCTTGCTGAACATTGGTGGTTATGGTCAACATCATCCGAGCAGAATGACGCCATTGATGTTGCCAACGAGGTAGGATGTCGTCATCACCATCTCGTTTGATAGTGTTATACTCAAGTTACACTCATTCATAGTAAACATTGTCTAATGATAGTGGTGTCACTTGTATCCAGTGGTTCACAAACTATGGGTAATGGTATTGTCTTAGACCAAGCAATATTATCGTTCAAAACTACAATACCATTTTTGAACAATTTAGTTCCTAAAATTATCTAAAAATAAAAAATAAAAATATGTCAAAAATATTAGAATCATATTAGAATACTTATAGAAAAGTTTAGATAGGTTTGGTAAAACTTTCTTTAGTTACACTCGATGACATAATCATAATACAAATCTCATATTTGGATAAAAATCAACTAAAAATTAAAAAAATAGAAAAAGTGATATTATGTATACTAGAACCATATTAAGATATTTATAGAGAAGTTTCAAAAGGGTTGATGAAATTTTGCTGAGTTACGCTTCCATACTTCATTACAGATTTAAGACACAAATACTTTATTTGGACAATTAATCACTCTAAAATCAAAATAAATTAGAAAAAGTAGTAGTAAATATACTAGAATCATATTAGGATATTTACAGAGGAGTTTTGATTGGTTTAATGAAAATTATTGAGTTACATTCGGGTAATGCCCGAGTTATACTAAATTAAAAATTAGTCACTCTAAATTTAAAAATAATACTAAACTTATTATAATCATATTAAGCTAGTTATTGGGGTAGTATGAATAGGTTTGAGAAAAATTATTTAGTTACGCTCACGTTATACTCAAGTTACACTTGATCATAGATTTAACCCAAAGCACACTATTTTGTAAATTAAATATTCTAAATTCACAACAAGTGAGAACCATCATAATCACTTATAAGAAATTACAATAAAAATATGTTTTTAATAATCACAAACTAAACACATGGAAGCAATTCATAACATAACAACATTAATCAAATTAGTAAGATGATATAACATTGTCAACAATTTGTACAACAACATAGGTCATCATCAAACTTTTTATTGCTTAATTCTAATACCCAAAAATCTTTTAGGTAACTTTCTCTTCTTAAAAAAATATGGGCTATATTTTAAGGCTTGATATATTTTCAACCTATATAACCTATGGACTATCGAAGGAATAGCCCTTGATCGATCATTAGATATCGTAGAATATACTACAAAAGGCATTGGATCATCAAAGGATCCAAACGAATGATCCTCTATGTCTAGGGCTATAGGATGGCCAAGTTTATGATCTTCGAGTATCTTTTATAATCTTTTAATTTTATCGTCTTTCTTTTTATACTCGGCACATTCTTAATTCTCTCCGATGTATGTGTTCTACAAATAGTTTAATATATCAAATAAATAATATATTTTAAATACATAGATGAAAAATATTAAATTATTATATCTTGGTATTCTCAACTAATAGATGAGACTCAGTAGCTATTGAGATAAGCACTTGATATACCTATAGAACATGTGTACACAATAGTTATTGATAATATTGATGCTTACACGATCATATTTCCATAGTCATGATCAGGATAACAGGATGGCATAAACATATTAATACATTCGCAAAGTCATACCTGGTAACAAATTAATAAATTAAGAATCAAAATTAATTTATATTAGACTTTTCATATATATATAGAAAAATAAGATTTCGTTTACCATCAAGAGTAGTGCATAGCCTCTTGTATATCTAATCAACTTAGTGCTACCCTTAAACTTTAACTTTTTTATATGAGCACCAATATTGAAAATCTTGATGGCATTGTAAGAATAGATAGTCATCATCTAATTGTAATTTATCAATGAATCTAAATCATGAACATAAGATGGTATTGCAGGGGGTAAAGTATGATTTATTTGATAAAATAAAATACAAACAAAAATATATAAAATATACAACTTACAAAAATCGACAATGTCAACATCATTATCACTAAACATTAGTCTACAAATTAGATTTTCTATATTTTATCTACTAGGAAATTGATCTCTAAGGTATTTCTTGAACATATAACTTGAAGTCATTGCTTCAACATCTATAATTTCTCTATGGTTGGGAACCCCTAAACTCCAAATAATATCGCTCGAGCGAAACTCAACTGGGACACCATCAAAAGTAAATGTGAATCCTTCCATCCAATATTATAGGATATTGTATAGAGCAAGTTAATATATAGGAATATTAGGAATATCTATAAAATAATAAAAAAGTGTCATCCTAGGAACATGAAGATAACACCACCTATAGGAAATAGATATAATGTGTCGACTTCTACCACTAGGTTCACAGATAAAATACTTAAAATGATCCATATAACAATGATCACTATATATTGTGGAGGGGATCATGAAGGAAGGGGTGACATGGGAGCGGGTTGATGTAGTAGGAGACGAAGGAAGAATGAGTATATGAAGCTTTTTCAATTTTAAATTTAAAAATAAAATTTAATTAATTATATATAACTTAATAATGATTACTATGAATCTTTAAGTTATGATATATATTGCTTGTACTAAATTAAAGGTTATATATAACACCATTCTATATATATTTACAAAATTAAAGGTTATAAATAGAGGATAATATATCCAAAGTTTATTGGATGAAAAAGATAAATAAATTTAAACATATACATATCACAAAACATAGTTGAACACCCTTATATTCTAATTAAGTAATATGTATAACTAAATAAATTAAAATCAAGTCTTGAGTGTAACTCAAGTGTAGCCTCGATGTAACAAAAGTATAAATAGGAAAATTGTATCTAAAATTATCCAAACTTTTCAAAAATTATTATAATATAATTATAACATATTTACTATAATTTAAATAATTATATTTTATTTTAAGATTATTAATTATCAAAATAAGATATTTTTATATTAAATCTATGATCGAGTGAACGTGAGTATAACATAAGTGTAACTCTAATGTAACTAAAGTGTAAATATCGAAATTCTTCTCAAACCTATCCAAACTTCTCCAAAAGAATAATAACATATTTCTAACATGTTTTATATTATTATTATTTTTATTTTTTTGGGTCATTAATTGATGAAATAGAAAATTCCTACATTAACTCGAGTATAACTCAAATATAACTTCAGCGTAACTCAAATATAAATATATTTAATTATCTTAAATTTACTCAAACTTCTCAAAAGCTATTATAATATGTTTCGTATTAATTATATATATATTGTTTCTAATTTTAGAGTCAATAAATGGTGAAATAGGTGATTTTTTCTTAAGATTTATTAGTCTTGTCTCGTTTTTTTTTTTGTTATTCAACTCAGTTATAAAGTTTTAAAGAAGTCATTGGTAGCAATATAAAAAATTAATTTTTTTTTAATATCTTACTTTTGTGATTAGTGATACGATATCTCTATCAATAAAGGGATCACATCGTTCATAGTCGAAGAGGAGTTGAGATCACCGAAGGTGATGATGCTGTAGCCATTACAGAGGAGATAAAGAGATGAAGTCATCATTGCTTGATGATGTCATCAATAAGTAGTAGAGGATGGCACTATTGTTGGCCATTGCAGAGGACTAGAAGATACTATTGTAGAGAGGAGCATAGGTTACATTGGTCATTGTTGTTGGAGAAGGGAGGATTTATCATAGGAGAGAGAGGATACCATCGTCATTCATCATCAAAGAGGAGAGGAGCACTTGTTACCAATGCCTATAATAGGATCATACTCGTTCAATGTAACCCTTGCTTTTTGATTCAAACTCAACCTAACCGATAATCCAATCCGATCCGCTTTGAAGGATTCAATCAGAATCAATTCAATCTAGATCGAAACCCAGACTTGACCAAACCAACCTTGGGTCGATCGAATTTGAATCAAACTAATAGAATCAAGACAAATGGTTGAACCGATTAGAAGAATATTTTTAAAATTTTAAACAAAATGGGTTAAAAAAACAAATAACAACTGGTTGTTTTTTTAAAGGCCTTAAAATTAACAACAAAAATAATGGTAACAAAAACATCATTAATAACAACAATAGGCAAATGAAATGGAATGAAATTACGTACATAACAACCATCACAATCCGGACGGAATATTGTGTTAAAGTTTCAAAAAGGCAACAAACATTCCCAAAATCTAATGGTATACAAAGTATATACCTCATCCGTGTGAATAAACATACAAAACAATATCTCATCGGAAAACCATTTCATCTAAGTCGTACTATGCTATATTGGATTATAAATCAGTCGATATGGAATCAAGTTTTAA